TGAATATGTGAATGCTAAACCCTGTGCATCTGTACATGGTTCATCTGAGTTGATGCTTACAATCACATCATCTCCAACTCGGCACATGGATTGAGTTCAGCTCCATTCCAAGCTGGCACTTTGGATGTTCAGCACTGTGTCATAGGATAAGGCTAATGTCTGTTTCAGTCATACTTGCAAATCGTAAATTTACTTTATAATGATTTATTGCACCTAATATTTAACAAATGGGTCCATAGCTCAGTGGTAGAGCATTTGACTGCAGATCAAGAGGTCACCGGTTCGAACCCGGTTGGGCCCTTCATAAATGAATAATTTTTGTGCAATTTTCCTTCAACGAAAATTTGTTAGTTCATTTGAAGACCGACTCCGGAAGATGGTATAGTTTATTTTGTGCCATTCTACGTTAGGTTAGATACCAGGCAGAAAATGTGGACTTTATGTCCATCCGATGCCTAAAGAAAAAACAGCTTTTAAAGAAAAATTTTACTTCATTGATGGATTCAATTTTTTCTCACTGACAAAAAGCCCCTACCTTACTTTTAATGTACAAATTTTGTTGTATCTAAAATGTAATTAGAATGACTAACATTTGATACAAATTTAATGTCTGGAAGAAAAACAACTCTGCATCTGATTGAAGTATTTATCATGACCTAATCCCACAGCCTTGTGGAATATACTTTCTGGTATTGTTAGTCTATACATCTCATTGATTTCATTGTTTGTTTGATTTCTCTTTTCCTGCAAAAGCATTCACCATCTGTTAATAATGAGGCATCATCAGAAGATGATGACAAACTTAAAGTAAGGTATTTATGGAACTCACCAAATATACTTTGTTTTAAAGGGAATCTAAGTGATGATCCCTTCCCCTTTGGCTCCCTGAATTGCCTGTCTTTACTCGGTTTTTCCATAGCTGCATGATGGCTGCTGCTTTCTCCAGCTAAAAGGTCACTGCCTTTCTTTACCTTTTCATGATAAACAGCTGGGGGTGCAAGCCTCAATGGAGGCAAGTTTTCTACCTGTGTTAATTTCTGGTCCTTCTGAAGGTTGGTTAAAATTTCATACTGCATCATCCAAACAGAGTCTTGATTAATTATTGATATAATAGCTGAAAATAGATAAGACAGTACATTATTAATTTACCCTTGATATTTGCTGAAGCCCATAAGAGTTCTCTAGTGCATCACTTTCATGCTGGTAAAGTGTCATTCCTTGAGGAGGCAGGGGTTTTGATGGAAACTTTGTTACCAAACCATTCTCTACGAAAGCTGATTTATTTCTAGACCTCTGAGTATTCTTCTTAGGCATACAAATGGGGCATCCGGATGAGGAGCCATTAGTTGATGCCTCATTTTCTAGCTCACATTGAAGATGTGTAGCATGGCCACAGCTGAAAATTCGAATCTGAATAGAAGAATTCTTGAAGAGGAGACTGTTACATATGCAACATAGTAAACTTCGAGGTGCATATCCATGAGAGGCCCCCTTCTTGAGCACGCTCATGGTATAGAATGTGTCATCCTCTATCAGAGATTTGGCCGTATCCTACAAAAAGAAATATAAATTGAACTAAAATAAAAATTACTGAATGCAAACCATGACAAAGAATAAAACTAGTTGCTAATAGTCTAACTTCAGGGAAAGACTTTGTGCATGGGCTTTATTAATCTATATAAGGTGCTGATAAAAAAAGGTAACCTACAAAAGATTAAATGGGCAGGGTGTCATGAAATTACTTTAGAACTAACAAAAGTGTATCCATGCAAAGTAGTAACCTCAATTCATTTAGCATATCAAAAACCAGATGTAGTACATGCAACATGCTACCATCAGTTGCGTATTCTTTATCAAACCGAGTACACTAAAAACCTATCATCATTGCATTTGCCATGAAAAGAAAATGAAAATTGATGAAATGTTGAAGCATTTTACTGGCAATTGTGAACTTAAATCACAAAAGTCTAGAAGAATCAGGCCTAAATATCTAAAGTTCAGATAAATAAGCAAATTTTTATATGTAAGGACTCTTGGTTTACTGTCCAGTCACCAAGGCATATCTATCATTACATAGATGTTAGTAGGCAAATAAAGTGATAAATTGTCAGTCATCATTTTTCTTTTTTGATAGTATTGTCAGTTCAGTCATGCTTGTTAGTTTTGCAAAAAATGAGGAAAAGATAAAACATATTTGTGTAGAAGAAGAGAAAACGAATCATCCTTTTCTTCTGATAAATGCACATACCAGAATTCTTCTTTCAAAGCCATAAGTTCCCAGCATCCCCAATATGGTAAGCTTAAAATCACCAAACTCCTGACTACCATTATCAGAGAGGAGTTTTGACATGATTGTTGGAAGGCGAACATATCCTATCATTCCCTCAACGATTTCTTTAATGAACTGAGAGCACAATTTTCTCAGGATATGAGCACCCTTGTGAGATTTTGGGATTCTCCACTTGATTATGCATGTTTCTTCTTCTTGAGAGTCTGACGACTCAATCAGCAATCCAGAATGATTTTCTCTTTGAGAATTGTTTTCAATGGAATATGCTCCCATGAGAGGTCCACAAAACCTGAATTGAAATTCGGATGATCAGGAACATGGAAAGAATAAAAGTCCAGGGTACAGAAGGGAACTTGAATAGTTTCTTATCGCCCAACATTTCTCCATGTTCTTTCCTCAACACATTAAATATGAATTCTATTTTTCCATTTTATGCTACTTTTTAAGTTCTCAGGAGCCCTTCTCTTCTCCATTTATTCCAGGTCTTGGGATCTCTTCTTTATCACTAACATGGATATCTTTCATGTGATGTGAAACAAATTACTAAATGATTTAAACTTACGAATCAAGTAATCTGAACCAAAGTGTCTCTGATTCTTCAGGATTCAAACGTGGGGTGTTCCGTTGGCACAATCCTATACAGGCATGCAATACATCATATATGTCGCTCACCTGTAAAAAAAGAATCAGAAATAACATCAACATTTCCAACCATCCTTAAAGAGAGGAATAAAATATGTTAAACCTATTTTGAATAAAGATTTAGCATCCATAACCTCTTTCATTTTTGAAATAGTGTTTAAATGCTCTGTGCTAGCAGATTTGCTTGAGGAAACATTAGAGACTTTACTTTCCACAGCGGTTTCAAGCTCCATAAATTTATCTGTAAGACCGGAAAGGGTAAGTAGAAGAGCACTTCCAACATCACCAACCCTCTCTAGTAAATATGCAGCTGCATCTATAACTCCATATTCCTGGCAGAGTCGTAAACAATGCTCAACTCGATAGCTATCAAAAGTTTCTAAGAACTTGAGAACTGAATCACGTTCAAACTGGCATAATAACTGCAAAAGCAAAATGAAGTATCTTAGCCTGAGTTATATCTTAAAGAAGTGAAACCCTGCTTCTAAGTGCCTTTTTAATGAAACTTAAGGAAAACATAGCCAAGAACATGCACATAAAATGGAACAGAGTTAGCCAAGGACATGCACATAAAATAGAACAGAGTTAGTCAAGAATATGCACATAAAATAGAACAGAGTTAAGATTCAAGGACAGGAAGGAGCAGAAGCACCAAAAGCAGCCAACCCAAACAGTGAGACAAAATTCTTTACTTGAGATGGATTTTCTTCCCATTTATTTCCATTGGACTGGATATTTCACCACAAAAGCTAACTTTTAAGTTGTGCTATATGTGTGCACATGTGTGTGTGTGTGTGTGCTATTAAAGAACTAGCTGCACCAAGAAAGTGCTAACCTCCAGATAAAGCTCAATCATATCATCAGTCACATGAAGAGGATTACTACGCAATAATTTAGGAAAACCAGAGATTCGCTCAGAGTAAGCTTTGAGCTCTTTTGATTGATCTTTCATCCTTCTTCCACCAGAAACATCCACAGGTTCATCATTCTTTAAATAAGAGAAGTCGAGGGTTCCAGACAAGTGAACCTCAATAACTGTTTTTAAGTAAAGGAAAAGGCTCTTTGAATGGGAGCGGAGTTCTGACAGGATATGTGAACCTTCTTCATTAAAATGGTCAGTGACCAATAAGAATGTCCCCTCCCTGCAAAAGATTTAGAGAGAGAGAGAGAGAGAGAGAGAGAGAGAGAGAGAGAGTAAGATTGGTAAGAGAAGAAATGAGTTGTGCAACAGCTGAAGAACTAGTAATGTAATCAAATATTAATCAAAGATGTCATATAAAAGTTTACCTGCTTAAGTTGACCAATTCTGGAATTCGTGAGATGATTGCTGATCGGAAAGCAGTATATTTGGTACCACTCAGTTGAAGTAATGTCTTGTTGATAAAAGAGAATGCATGAACGGGTTCATTCACATCTTTCATATAGCTATCTAGGGCGGCAATATACTGCTGTCTGGTGGCATGAATTAGGCCACAAACCTGAAAGCAAAAAAAAGAGCTTATTGTAGCGCAAATATGAAAGTGCAAATTTGTGAAGTATGCTCCTAACTACTAAGTAGAACGCCAAAAGATAAGCATGCTATATATACCTGGTAAAAGCATGCATTCTCACAGAGTTGTAATACATGTGATGGGTTCCAATCAGTCTCTGGTACTACTTCCAAAAGTGCCAACAATTGCTTCTCTCTTCTTTTGGAACTTGCATTAGTAGAAGCAGAACTTTCTGGACCAGTATTTTCTGATGTCAAATATTCCAAAATCTGATGCAGAACATTTCTTGAGACATTAGCTCTTTCACATGCAACATAGAATGCAATGAACTCAAACATATAACCCATGTCCTTATATGAAGGCCATGCTTTTATTGATTCAGTTTTGTCAATGCTTGCAGCCCCATCTGTGCTGGTAACATTCTTATTAAGAACACAAACAAGAGCATCAACAGTACTCTGTATCAACATATCCTGGGATTCAGTCCTCAGGTCATTTTCTCTTTTAGCTTCTACATTTGCATCAGCTGACTCAAGAAAAGAAGAGTCAGGCTTGGGAGTTTTATCTTCTATGAAAGCACATCTGAGAACATCTAAAGTCGCCTCAGTATCTAACTCCAGGAGATGATAAAGGTTAAGAAATGCTCCTCCAAAGGACGAGTTTGACACTGGTTTTGAATTCTGTCCATCAGAAACCTGTAATAGAAACTGCAGAAGTTCTGTTCTAAGAGACAGCAAGCGTGAGGGTGGAAGAGTCCCTTGTCCTGCAAATAGAGATTTGTGATTCTTGACTGATTATTTATCAATTTGACAATGTCAACATTTATTGAAAGTTGTGTGGTGCAACTGGTCAGTTTCAAAACATGTTATAAGTAATGCCTCTAGAGCTTCATCAATCATCAATCAAAGATCTCCAGAGATGATGCATGTCAATTTTGAAACGGTTTATGGTTTTCAAACTCTTGATAAACTATAGCGCAAACAGGTACTGTGCCAACAAAGAATATTAACAAAGAAAATTGACCATTAAAATAAAATTCAGAAATAGACTAGGTTCCATGCATTACTTATTTGGCACCACATACAACACTACAACTTCACTGTGAAAATGAATGTTATGAATGATAAAATATCATTTTCCAGGAGCCAATGACCCTAAACAACATTTTCAAGTGTGTTACTGAAGCAAGAAACATGGACTAATAAAATCCAATAATCAATCACAGCAAGTGTTTTAACTTTCTATAAGCCAATTCCACTTCCGTTAGGGATATATCAAGCTGAAAAAAAAGGGCAAGAAAAAAAAAAAAAAGAATAAGAAGAAGAGAGATATATCATACCTGGTGGAAAAGCAAGACCTGAAAAACAGTACTTCAAATAAACAAGCATCCTGTACCTGTTAAAATGAAAAGCAATAAGAACATAAAAGCTCTGGTACTAGTTTACGATTAAAATTCACCAACTTCATCCAGGCCTACTCCATCTTGATACCAAATCTGATATATTGGTTTTAGGGAACCCTGTTTTAAAGTCTGGACTGCACCAGACTGTAAAACAGGGACTATTGGATGGGGGGAGGACCCCAAAATCAGGTGGCCCAACCCCCATCCAATGGTTAATGTAATGCAGTCCAGTACAGTCCAGACTGCACTACACTTTTTTGTTGGTTTTAACTTCCAAGGTAACTGCCAGTCCTAAATAATTCAGTTTGTAAAATGATATTTCTCCCCTCTAATTTCATCACATAAATAGAAAAATGTTTTCCCATAGATAATTCTCCACAAAAGCCTCTTAACGTATCTGTCTCTCAAGTCCCTTCACAGGGAATAAATTAGAACAAATGCTGTACGTGTCCAACTGACTTACCCACTAGTGGATGCACTTTCCCTTTGACTATTTCGTAAAACTCCCAATAACTCTTCTAAAGGTGCGCGGAAATCACCCAATCCTTTATTGAAAAGATAAATTAGAGCACCATACAATCCATGCTCCCTGCATAACCTGACCACCTGCAGGACAAACAAGAAGAAGTGAGTAATCAATCACAGAAAATGATTTAATAAATACAATCTGCTCAACAAGAAAATGACAAGCAAAGAACAGTAAACCTAAACTTCGCTACCTGATTGAAATCCAATGAAGAAATGTCCATGTGAAGGACACATTGTTCCACTCGTTGTAACCATCCCTTGCTGCTGTAATGTTCCACCAGTGCTTGCATTATCTTTCAGAAACACATAGATAGTAAAATTACTATTTATCAACTCAATCAGCAAATGCCCAAAAAATAAAAAATAAAAAACCTCAATCAGCAATAGGCTAAACATTTTGATTAGATTGGTACCTCAGGACGCAGAGACCCAAGCATGTCCTTCAATATATATGGTTCCAAAAGCTCCAAAAATGTGTCTGCAAAGATAACCATCAGTCGTTAGATAAGAAATATACTACAATTTATAGGAATTTTATATGCACAAACAACCCATTTGACATAAATGTCATTATGCAAACGATAACTGTGTGAAATAAAGGTCATAATTCTGCATCGCTAAATGACTCCAATTGAATGAGAACATTTTACATCTAAATGGTATTAACCCGGCCCTCCACATCAAAAAGTCAAATGAGGAATACAGCTTAATGAAAGTATTTAATGCAGGATTAAAACAAGATATGCTTCGTACCTCTGTGCTGAACAGCTACAAATTTGGAGAAAATGTCTTCAAAAAGAATGTCAGTCCTCTTGATATGGACACAGAATTCTACTGCAACACCTCCAACACGGGTAAATTGCTCTTTAATTTCGGAGTGAACAGAACTGCTTCTGCCATTTGAGTCATCAGGCCCCTCCATTTTACCAATGTGGTTACAAAATGCTACTGAAATATAAGAAAAGACTTCATCCACATATGACAGAAGCAATTCTACAAGATATGGCATGATGACCTCCTGTACTCCATGCAAATCCCTTGGAAGGTCAATAACACCATGGGCTTGGCCATCATAGAGTGTCATTGCCATGTTCAAAGCTCCCATCCAGTCACCTGCTTTCCGTAGAACCTGGATTCGTTCCTTCCAAGGAAGAAGACGAGAGACAACAAGATGCACAGGTCCTAGTACATATACAGAAGCTCCCCTTACAGCTATACAGTTATGATAGGCTTTCTCAGGATTTCCGAAGACATTAATAAACTGAGTATGATAGACAACAAGGTCATCTCCCACGGCAACATCAACAGAAAAACTAGTTTGGTGAATGATAGTTCCATCCTTTGCAAACAAATAAAGCTGTCCTGTTATTGTTAGAACCACCAACATCTGGGAAAGCATGAAACTGTCAATTAGCACAATTTTGCAAGAAACACTTATCAAGCAAATTAGAATGCAGAGATGCAGAAGCACAAGGGAATGTGTCAGAAAAGGTGCTACACCATAAAAAAGGTTGTTTTAAGGGATCAAACAAGCAAAAAAAGATCTACGTACTTGATCATCTAGCCAAGCCATGCCAATGGCTGCACTGTCAAGAGACCAATTACCATATATTTTCAGCTCTGATTTGATCAGCTTTGCGACCTGAACTTTGCGATCCCAAGCAAGTGCAAGCAATGAAACTCTGTCTGCTGCTTCAGCAGAAGTGTTCTCTGTAGAATATTCGACATCTTAGACAGATAACAATATGGAACTTGACCATTTCAGTTAATTCATACCTGTAGAAGAACCACGAGACTGTGTGACACATTTCCAGGCAGTGTAAGGAATTGACCCTTCACGCACCCCTTCTGGCCTAGAAAGTTGAGCATAGACTTCCAATGTTGGAGTAAGCCTTACCTGCAAAGTGAAAAGAAAAAGGGAGAGAAAAAGCAGCTTCAACACATTGTGAATGTAAATGAAAAAAAGGTCAACAACATTCTCAACAAATAAGATCCATGGGATTTATGCAATCATCCAGACTTCATACCACTAGAGCGGTTTGATAGGTGACAAATACGACCACACCTTCTTCAGCCAGGGAAGAGCCTTCGTTGAAGAGTTTCCAACCTGCATCTGCGGCAACAACACCTCCCATCATGCTACCAATGGTACTAGAAACTGCAGCATTTCCTTGATAGGTCACTGAAGTACCTCCAGAAGCATCATCAAACAAAAGGGGAGAAGTAGAAAGAACAGTTCCCGTTCTTTGTCCATCTAAAAGACACTATTTCAATCAACAAACAAAAATCATAAAGTTGACAAGGATAAAACAGGCTATAAGTTATTAACTCAGAATAGGCAAATGCACACACAACTAGTTTATGCAGAATAACATTTTACCAGGCTCTTCAAAAAAAAAAAAAAAAAAAAAAAAAAAATACAACACTCTACCA